TTTTTTTTTTTTTTTTTTTTTTTTCAATACGGGGAGCCCAGTTCGGGGCTGTCTAGCTCAGGTCAAGCCCTGCATGGCTCTCCAGCTGCCGACTCTCCCTGCTTACCTTCCTCACAGTGCTCGCCCTTGTAGCCAGCAGCACACACGCAGTTGCCGTCAATGCAAGAGCCATGGCCCCCGCAGGAAGGGTCGATGCACTGGTTCATGGGTACGTCACACTCGGCACCTTTCCAGCCACTGTAGCACTGGCATGTTCCTTTGGAATACTGTCCATTCCCACTGCACAGGACAGGGCAGGCAGCTGTAAAACCAAAGAGAGGACACCAGGTCACAGGGGATCGACATCTGAAGGACCGTGTCTGTCTGGCCCCGCAGCTTTGCCTCCAACCTTGTAGGCTGAGGACTTAGCCACAGAGGTACCTGGTCACCTTCAAGTACAAAACGACAACCGGGCCATCACACAGTCAGTGGCTCCTGCTCATGTCTGGCCAGGCACAGTAGAGGATGCTGTAGGCCTTTCCTGACTGAATGATCAGAACCACCCTTTGAGGGGCAGCTATGATTCCACCATGCTCTGGAGGCTCAGACTGGGGATCTTTTCACAGGGCTCACAAGCAGGGGCCCAGCTGGAACCCAGGTTAACACACTCTACAGCTATGCTCTTGCCGAAACTGTTATAGAGGCCGTCGGCACTGGCTGGGAGTCTGAGTGTGTTTTACTCATTATTTTATCGTTAGAAAAGTTGACTCCTGTTCAGGACACGTTTGAGTCAATGAATCTCTCTCTGCCTTAGTTTATTACCTATACCATGAAGAAATAAGTGTATCTATTTCAAAGGAGAACACATGCATTAAATTATGAAGATAAAACAAGCTTGGCTTATTGAAAAAAAAACAAACAAAACAAAAACCAAGAGAAGGAGAAAGACAGGCCTAAAGTGTGCCACCTGGAGCATCTTCCACTCCTTGCCTTTGCTTATGGGACGGAGGTTGAAAAGTCTGTGGGGTTGTCTGGAATGCCACTACCTCTGCTTTAAGTTGGCCTTAATTGTGCCACTTCTCACTTTCAGCCTTTATTTCCAAGGGGGTTCTAGTGGCTCCTTGAGGCTCCTGTCATCAGAGATTTGCAATGAACCTGTGTTTTCAACCTGATTGGAAACAGAACGTGTCTCTGACTGTCCCGGTTATGGCACAGGCCTTCAGGAAGAGACCTTCAACTGTGACCCATGCAGGTGTTTCGGTGGCTACTGGTGGTGTCTGTGATTTGGAGCCCAGGTTCTGAGACCTCTTCACGGATGCATGGTGCATATATACGAAGCCATGGGACTTCAGTGTTCCATGAGCAGATTTGCAGTCAGTCAGATCACTTAATCCACGGCCCACCCTGCTTTGCTTGTCCCCTCTGTGGTCACTAACTCCGCTCCATGAGTGTAATCCATGGCCCACCCTGCTTTGCTTGTCCCCTCTGTGGTCACTAACTCCGCTCCGTGAGTGTAATCCACGGCCCACCCTGCTTTGCTTGTCCCTTCTGTGGTCACTAACTCCTCTCCATGAGTGTCTGGCTTCCCAGGGACACGGTAACCTTCTAGAGGATAGGCACAGAGCTTACCAAAGATGACTTCCTGTCAGTTCTCAGTTCTATAATGCTGACTGGCTTGGGTAAACACTTCTGCATTCTTGAAAGGTTTTTGGGAAAACACTAAGAAGTATTTATGAACGACCAAGAACGAATAATGCCTCAAACAGCCCTCATGTTGCAAACACAATGAATTTCCCTCTCAATTTCAAACTGATTTGAAATAATATATCTCAACAGTTGGCATATGATTGATAAGATATTATTTTCCCAAATACTTTATAAGAGGGCATTTGTAGAAACTGTTGAGGATATCATTTCCACAATTCTTATCCTTATGAAATATCTAGAGAGGAATGGAGTTCAAATGACATCAAAGACACCCACTGAATTCAGATAAACCTTTCTCAGTGGAGGGTGCATGCTTCTCAACACTTAGGATGTTAAGAAGGGGATTCTGTAGTTACTAGAGATACTGATTGTCTTGGAAGGTAGAGGAAAGAGCTTGGAACTTCAAATAGGGACCGTGCAAGTGTGAACTAGCAAGAGAAATGATGTACTTTCTTGAAGTCTCGAGAGATATTTGGAGACAAACTAAGTTTGGTCCACGTCAGTTCATCATAGGATGCATGCTAAGCTCAAAGTGATGCAAATGTGTTTGGGCAGATTATGATCCCCTCTTTTGGGATTCTGCAGACATCACTAATGGATCATGGCATCTCCTCCTGAGCCTAGAAAGAACCTGAAAACCGTCATAATGTCCAGGCTAATACTTGCAAGGAGGGTGAGCTGGCATTCAAGAGAAAGCCTACTTTGTCATTTCTGATCTGGGTCACATGGAAAGATCTCCAGAAGGAAGACTAGAATATACATGGTTTCTCACCCCAGTTCCACCCTCAGGCCTGAAATAAGCCACAGTGAGAAATGCATCTAGACAATGGGTAGCCTTCCAAGACTATCTCTGACCTGCATACTGTATATTGGATGGGCTACCTGGAGGGAAGACAAGACCTCAAATCCTCACTGCTGTGGCCCACTGCATATTTTTTTTTATTCCCACAAGGCAGGGGAGGAAGCAAATGATTACTGTCTATATTAGTTGATAAAGGGAAGGATTATTTTCTCCTTTTCTTTTGCACAAACTCCAAGTGGTGGGAAAAATTAGAATGGTCTAGAAAATAAGAATTGGTTTTTATATAAAATCAGATGGATGGGAAATCAAGTTCAAAATGTGACCTACTTAAACTACTCAGGGAACAAGTGAAAACGAGTCAGGTCACGGCGTTCCTAAATGTAGCCCTTTCTCAATTTGTTTGATGCAAGCTTGCTGGGACTGTGGTCTGAGATGCAAGACGCTGATGTTTGCTGGAAAGCAGGGCACTTGGGGGGGGGCTTGCTGACACACCATTAAAAAACCCCAAAGGTTTAAAAGCCCCAAAGGGGCTGATTGGAAGAGTGGAACTCAAGGAATTCACTGACACTGAAACAAAGAATGAAGCCTGCTAGGGGTCGCCGGGTTTGCAACACGGAAAGCCAGGAACCCTTTCTGTAATAGAGTCTCAGGTACTGCCCATCCCAGGGCCCCAGAACAAGTATGTGTGGCGCAGACTTGTCTACATGGAGAAGCTGAGTGGGAACTGAGAACCTCTTGTGAGAACAACTTCTTGGATTTAATGTTTTCGGGGTGTGATCATGTAATGATCATTATTTTTAAGACAGAGCAGAACAATTCTTTGGACTCCATGTCCCACCAAGAAGCAACACAAAGTAGAAGCAAAAAGGGCAGAGATTCTGGAGACAGAAAGTCCCAGGCTCAGCAGCTAGTCTTCATCTGTCAGTTGTGGGGTTTGAAAACGGTGACTAAACTTGGGTATTCAAGATCCTCTTCAGAAACCTGTCTCTCCGAGTGGATGGGAGGGGGAAATGACATAATATGACCAAGGAATCAACGTGGGAGCTGACACCCACGACACAAGTCATGAATGTTCCTGTGATCTTTCAAACTGGATCCCCAGCCTGCCTGACTGGAGGGGTTGATAAGATTAAAAAACAACAACAACAACAACAACAGCCACAGTTCTCTCACACGTGCATTGTGTATATACATGCACACATGCACATGTACGCAAACACACTGCCCCCATAACCAAAAGAGTGCCAAATAGCCTCAACGGAGAGAAGTCGCCAGCTTCTCTCCGGGTGTGGGTGGAAGCTAGTCTTGACTGGTCAGGAACCGTGTGCGAGATGTTTTATCTTCCCGCTTCTCTCTTTCTCTCCTTTATCCCACAGCCTTCCAGGAATAGAACATTGTGCATTCGAGCTTCTATTTAAAATTAATTAAAATGTGTGTACAAATTGACGATTCCTGTTTTACTCAACCTGGTAAATGGAAGTCTTAAGACTCCTGCAGAAGAAAAATAAATTACCGCTGCCACTAACGACTGACAAGTTAACAGGCTGATGACAAAAAAAAAAAAAAAAAAAAAAAAAAAAAAAAAAAAA